CAAGAAAAAAGAATAAGGAAGTAAAGTTCATTTTCATAGTTTTCCTCCAAAAACGAAGGAAGAAATCCCTCGACTCCTCCAGTATCCTGTAGTCATTTGACGTATAATAAAGGGAATAAAAACGCTGTAAATATCCAACAAAAGTGTGAACTAGTCCCAATATGTCTGAATCATAAACGAGTCAACAACTTACAAAGTCAAGCAGACGAACGAAACTAGGACGATTTCGAGGAGCAATAACATGATTTCCAGCATGAGAACCACTGCCTCTTGATAAAGCAGTCTTCTCTGCCACTGTCTGATTGTTTGTGTTATCAACATCAGATGCTGAAGATGAAGGAGATTCACCTGAATAAAAGCATGTGCTAAACATGATGCAACTACATAATATCGAGATTATCTGAACCAGAATCACATTACAAACAACATAGGCAAAAACATATCCAAATTCAAGTGGGAAATTCACACAAATGAAATTCACCTTAATAACATGTATGCACTAAACATGATGCAACAACTACATATATCGAGAATTTATGGACCAGAATCACATTATAAGCACATAGATGCTAAAACAACAACAACAACAACAACAACAAAAAACCCAGTGTAATCCCACAAGTGGGGAGATGCTAAAACATTTCTCGCAAGTGGGAAATTCATGTGAAGCTATGGTCTTCCATTAAAACAAAGCTAGACCACTATAAACCATGATGGCAAGATTCATAGATATGTCAATCGATATTCTATTCATACAATTATAACATTGTTAGATTTTAATTTTCCCGTCAAATTTTTTTCAGCTCCCGGGGCATTTTCTCCTATCTCTTTTTTTTTTTTGTTTTAATTTTCCTGCTGCGTCTAAGTTGTGTCTAATCATTCGTTGCATATCAGTTCTTTAATCACAATAAAGCCCACTGGCAAGCACGGACAAACTCATAACTGAAATTGGGTAAAACCCAGCCGCTCATGCTTGACGACTTTATTGTAGACTGAGTTATATCAATCAAAATTAAAGATGAAATTTCTTCTTAAAGTTTCAAAGATTCATTCCCCACTTCCCTCCCAACACCTCTGAGATGTCTCACTCACACATTTATGCATAGTGCAGCTGCATGAATCAAGACTGTTTTTTTTAACCGAGAAATCTACTATTTCCAGCTTCAAAACTTGGTGATGATGGGGCCTGCCCCTCTATCTTTCTGCACATAAATATCAAACTTGGTCACCAACTATGATAACTCATGAGGTGTGTCTACCACACCTCTCGAGATGTACTACCTCTGCTGCTAAACCAAAGCTGGGGGAATGTTTGAGTCAAGACTATTATATTTAGGATGTCTTATTTTCCCCACTTTGGGATTTTTTTAATATTTTTTTATTTTTATTTTTAGAAAGGTAACAGTCCACTTTAGAATTGTTTATCGCTGAAAAAAATTGGTTTTTGGTTCGGATAACTCTTGTGGCCAAGTTGATGCAAAATGCACATCTATTTTATTTCTCGGGGTGGGTTATCTTTTTAACCACATCTCAGTTAAGCAAAATCCTTTTCAACTTAGAATCACGCTCCGTCTATGCTTAATGGTGTCTCTTTGAATGTGGATATAAAACAACAAAAGGAAAAAGAAAGAAAACTACCAAGAGTAGTATCATGTTCCTGAGGTTTCGTTATACGGTTATGCTAACAACACACAGGTGGAAAGTTTGATGGCATTAAGACAAGAAACTCTTACGTCCAGTACTTCATGACAAAAAGACAGACCTTGAGGAGGAACTTGCAAACTTGCTTGCAGATCATGCCAAATTCTACTCGAACTCATATTTTTGCAGAATACCACCCTCATGTACGCAACCTCCATACACTTATAGGCCAAAGCAGCAGTGGCAACTTCATCACGTTTCTCATATTCATGTGCACAAGTTCTGCAACATTATAAATATCCATTACAAAGCAGATAAAAGAGCAGTCATCGAACAAGAAGTTATGAGATAGTTGTAACTAACATCAGACTTGCTTAACCTGTATGGAAAAGTTTACACAGAATATTCAACTTTGTCTGCACTAAACCAGGTTCTATGCAGAAATGAGTCATACCAAACTCTAAACTAGCGGATATTCAGCAGCCTTTAAAGGAAAAGAATTAATTAAATAAACAATAGTTTCACTTTACAAATTATTTAACAGTAATTTCTGCTGAGCAACAACTTGGCAAGGCAGAGGTTCTTTATAAAACGACACGGCCTTGAGCAAAACAGTAAACCAAAAGACAAACCTATCAGTTACAGTTTTGAGGAGCTGCAAGTTCGGAAATTTTCCCCATAGAGAAAAGGTTAAATAAGTGCTTACAAAATGGTATATCTATCGGTATTGTAAAGTTTGAAGTTACACATACTCGCAAAGTTTGGCTGTGTTACTATAGATTTGTATTTGATTCATCTCCCCGTGTTTGCTACTTTCCCCATTTGAGCTTTCTAAAAGTGAAGCACCCTGAAGAAACTTCAATGCCGCTTGAAAATAAGCTTGATTATATTCAGCATGAAATCCAGAGTTCTGCAAATAGCTTGAATAATTAGGAAAACTAATACATGCACTGCACAAGGAGAAGGGATCATGATTTCTTCAGCAGAAACTCAACTAGATAAAGCAGAGGCAGAGAAAAAATTAACTTTGGGAAATAGACCAGTAACAAGTTCTAATTGAGATAACAATATAAGATGAAAAGAGATATTAGCATAACCTTAAGACGATCAGCACAATCTCTAAGGTTTTCAGCTTCTTTCAGGACAGCAGAAGCAGTCTGACTTGAGGGTTCCCGTTTTGTAAGGGTGAGAGCACTGGATTCCAAATGCCCCATGCTGTTGTGACTCACAGTTTGACAAACACCAGTGCCAGGATCTTTTAGCGTAGTTGACACTCTGGCACATACATCTTTAGAACTTCCTTTCTGGGAACCTGAAGCAGGTTTGCTGGTAACAACTGACGTGCCTTGTTTATCTTCAGCATGTGCACCAACTTGAGACCTTAAGTCCCTGGATTCTGACTGAGCTGATCTACCATTTGTTGCATTTCGAGCATCAATTTCCTGATGAGGTTTTTGTTTCGTAAGAACTTTTCCTTCCATGTTACATACACTATTCAATTTTGTATTTGATCCAACACCATCATGCTTTAATCGGTGCTCTCTCTTGCTATCACTACAATGTGTGGGATCTTTCTTGCTAACAATCTGATTGTTTTTGAAAGATTTAGTACTGGATTCGAGATAATTGTGTTCAACCTTTGAATTCAGGACTTCCTGGTTGCCCAGTAGATCAGAGATATTCCCTTCTATCCTTTGAGTATTAAAACCAGCATTCACATCTTTTTCCTTAAATTGCAATGGAGAATCTTTGGCAGATTTATGTTCATTAAGCATAGAAACGTGTTTCTTGCTCACTCTACCCTTGCCATCGAAGCTGTATGCAGCATGCTTCTCAGTCATGTAGGGGCTACATTCCTCCAGAACATCAGCATGACTATTGTCCATATGGCTATTTCCAAACTCAGATGAATGTCTAACACGAGATTCATTTTTTTCCCTGGGACCGGTACCCCGAGAATCTAGCACCGAATTTTCACAAGCCTCCGGATGAGGAACACCAGATCTTTTCCCCTTTATTGAGGTCCTAGATTTATCACTCTCAAAATCGCCATCCCTATCCAAATATTTTCTTGGACTTCCAACTGTTGGGTAATTATCTAATTTAGCATCATCTTTCCCTGAACCCTCCGTTCTTGCAGGTGAAGCCTTACTAGTGATGAACGTCCTCATGGGGGATGAGGAAACGGACCCTACTGGTGAACCTTTCACTTGGTGTTTCGCTCTACTTTTCCGGGAGTCAGAAACTTTTGAAGAGCTTGAAGTGGCAGCTGTTGATAACTGTTCAGATCCCAAATCCCTTTTCAATGAATCAATATCTTCCATCGTCAATCGAGACTGAACCTTCACTCTATACTTCTTTGTCTGATGCTCTCTCTCTACGCTCCTATCTATAGGAGAATCCCTGGTTCCTGGTAGAACAATTCTGGTAACTGTACCTCTCGTTCTTGATTTTTCTTTACCCTTGCTAGCACTGGACTCCTTATTTTCAGTCTGAAACACCTTGGATTTCTTCTGTTTTCTGACTCCACTCTCACCGCAAACCGCTCTCACAAAAGCATTGGCATCACTGTCACCCAAATGATTACCATTACTTTGCGAAGTCATCAGATAGTCTTCATCCCTCAATTTTCTTTTCTTTATAGAAATTTCCCTTCCATTATGAGTTTTTATATTAATTGAGTCATTATCCCTTGAATCCTGGACTCGGTTGCCATGCTTCTTTTCCAAAATTTGTAACCTTTCTGCCAGCCCAGGCTTTGTCTCCTTCAAATTACCACGTTCATGGTAGTCCTGGATACCTGTCCCTACTTCCCTAATTGCCACAAAAGCTTGGTCACTTTTTATTTTTATCTTTTTCAGATCCCTGTGATCGGACTCCCTTTTGAATTTCTTTTTTGGCTTTTCATCACCTACAAATATGTTATAATAGGAAGAAAGTTAAATATCTATATACAGGTATGACAGGAAGGAAGAAATGCCAGCCTGAAGATGAATACTATACCATTAGCCATGTGCTCCTTCCGTTTACTCAGATTTTTGCCAAGGACATCAGACGACTTAACTGGAATCTGCACAATGGATTTGCTAATTATATTCGATTCACCAACATGTTGGTTCACATTCTTCAAACTTCTGCATTTGGCCGGCTCATGTTGCATGTTCAAGTTTGTGGTAACTGGACCATGATTGCTACTTGTGTTTGGTGTTTCTCTTAATTTGTGTTTCTTCTTTCCTCCATTAGCCACATAATCGAAACCCACATTCTGACTGCTGCCACCGAGCCCATGCATATCAGCTGAAATTACTCCAGCCGTATCTCTACCAGCATGATTTTGAAGGCTATTTAAGTTCTCAGGAAGAGGCATTTGGTACAACGCATGGAGTGCTCTTGTTGTCTCTTCCTCACTAATGTCACAATGGTTCATTCCAGGCCTACAGAAATTAATTTTGATTTTGTTATCAACAAAATATAGCACTGCAGAAACTATCTACAGAGATGGATAACCAGGCAGAGTATCGGAGCATGTGTAAACCGATATAAGAGAGCTAAGACTTTGTATAAGCCACAAAAAGAGAGTTACGATTTTAAAACTGCAGAAAACTTACAGCCAGTTCAACATGCTGCACATCCACCTGTCAGGCAGGTGCTCGGGTTTTGTACCATATGGCAAAAGGCGCCACTTCTGACATTTATCACAGGCGACCCAATCTTCTTCTATAACGACAGGAGCAACTGGTGGCTCAGTCCCAGAAGTCAGTTCCTTAGCACCCATGGCTGAAGGATCCTTCATAGGAGTCGCAGATGCCACATGACTATCAACTTTATTGCTTGGAACGTGTCTTGATTTAGCAGAAGATGAATGCTGTTTTATACGTGCCTCCAGTTTAGATTTCTTCAACTTATCACCAGGAGGTCTCTCCAGAGAATCCAGTTGATTCGTGGTTTTCTCCAGCTGTGCGTCAAATAAATGAGCCATCCGGACATCCTTCTTAGAACTCTTCTTGTTCTTGAGAGTAGCAGAAACCCCTCTTACCTCTGCCACATCTGCAGCTGGCTTCAGACCAAGTTGACGTTCTGTTAATTTCTTTTTGCCTTCAGATGATTGTTTCTCTGCGCGAGGCATCCTTGATTGGTCAGGTTTATGGCTTGCAGCTTTCATAACAGCTTTCTTTCTCAGAGATACAGCCCCACTAGAGTCCCTCTCACTCTCGGAAATATCAGAATCAGCTCCAAATGAAGGAACGGATCTGCCGCATTTGCTCCTGCCACCTTCCTTGCTATCAAAAGAAGCATTTTTCTGAAAGCGTTTTAGCTGGAGTTCCACTGAATTACTTCTTACTTCCCGGTGATCATATTTGTCACCGACTACGTCAGATGAAGATTCAAACGAGTCATCCTTATCCAAGTCACTACCAAACAATTGATCTTTAAGTCTATTGATCTCCCTTTTCTTCATCGGAATTTCCTTCACCGAGTCATGTATAGCTCCAGGTGCCCTACCAGCACCTTTCACTGATTCATGAGTATCAGGCACGACTCCCTGATTCAAGTCATTTGAGAGGCAATGCGTGTTTTCCAGGCTCTCAATGCCCAAGTTTTTCTCAAAAAAGGAGATCGTGTCATTTCTGACCCCTGAATTCTGTTCCTCAGCATATTCACTCTTACCAACTAATTTAGTTTTCTTCCCTATCAAGACATCCCCATCCTCTATCCTGGAAGTTGAACTATTGCCAGACATGACAGATTGAGGTTTGGTATCCTTTGCAGCAGCCACAGGCTCATTCCCCGTGAAAAGTTTATCATTTCTTGACAAAGTCAATAACTTCTCATGGAGAGGTGAAAGCAGCAGGCCTCCAGCAACTGGGAAAGAAGTCATAGTCTGTTCCAACAGACAGGAATAAATAAAGGGAAGGAAGCGAAAAATTAACAAAGCACCAGATACTATTCTCTTTTTGGCTGTGTGGTAAAAGGGAATTTTTAAGTAATAGAAAACTGGCTTACCTGAAGGATGCTGGCTGGAGAATCACAGGGAATTCCTTCAAACTTGGACAACATCTCACCACTTTCAGTAGGACTATTTTCCATTGACGAAGAGGGAGAAATAAGCCCAAGACTAGTGTGTAAAGCAGTACTCTTCTGGGCTGTCTTATCAGAACCAACTCTAATCCGAAGTTTGAATTTTCTCTGATCAGTTGGTTTAAGTGACTTGTTCATAGAAACTTCATGTTTTACAGGGAACTTATTAGATTCTTGAGCAGAAAAGCATGGTCTGGCGGAATCATACCCACAAGGAACCCTTGAATCATGCAAGGTATGACCACTGCGAGAACCAGCTGTACTATTCCTCTGAGTTGAGGGAGGATCAGACACAGCTGAAGAGTTCTGAGGAGGCCCCTGGACAGAAATGCAATCACCACACAATTTAAACCAAATATTCCCAGGTTGATAAAAGGTAAACAATATGGCATTCAACTAAAACAAAAGATAAACTTTTGACAGACCTCGGAAACAAAATGGTTCGGCGATCGTGGTGTCCCTTGATTTTGAGATCTCTGTGGAGATCTTGGCTGAGATAGAATTGAAGGGGAGCGCTGATAAGTCGGTAAGAACGAACCATACCCGCCAAATTTTGCCCCTGCCAAAAGTAAAAGAAATTTAATCAGCCCATCTACATGGAGAAAGAGATACACAACTGTTGTCTATGATCAATGGGACTGATTAACAGCCAACTTACCCAAATTCTCAGCAGAAACACCTCCTTCAAAATCTTTCTGAAAATGACCCAAAACACTTTGAAGTTTCTCATCCTTTGACACAGAAAACCATCAGTTATACTTTCATTGTTTTATAAAATCAATGGCAATAACCATTCATAATGTAGCATACACTTTAACCACAGTATTGCAGAAAGTGGGGAAAGGCAGTCTTAAAGAGAATCTCTTTTTCTCTTACTTTTCTTATTGTTACCCTTCACTATTAGCAGAAATGATCCCAAATTTCACCAGAGTAACTTGAAAGCAAGATTTCTAGCACAATGTCCCAGTAGTATTCATTTTTTCCAGTTCAGTTCCCAAACCCAAAAAGTTCTCTTTTTTTTGTCCTACCATAATTATTTTCCTGATTTCAGTACATTCTTTACAGAATCACAAAACCATCTATGATGAATTTTGAATTAGTAAAGCGTAATCTTTTACCCAGAACATTGATAATCAACCAAGAACTTAACTACCAAAAACAAACTGCAACTATATTAAGCATTTCATGAACTGATTCTCAAAACTCAAAGTTCTTCTCTTTCACTTTAATTCATCATAAAGAACACATAATCAAGAATGTTTAGATTTTGAAAATTGAGTTCAACATATAGCAGAGACAAAAAAGAACTCTTACAATGTAAGAGAGGGCTATGTCCGGGTCAATGCTTGAATTATCATCATCATCCTTGTTGTAATAACATGCTTCCCCTTCCTCAAGCTCATGTTCCTCCATCATTTGAGCCCTATTACTATTTCCCCAACTCATAAATAAAACCTAACCTCAAATTTCCCAAACTTTTAACCCCAAAACCCTAACCCTAGCCCTAATTTGCCACCTATCCTAAAATCCAACATATCACTCACAATTCAAAAATCCAACTTCGACCCATTAAAATACTCACAAAACCCACAAAAACCCAGAAAGGAATTGCACTGTAACCTCTCCAACCTTCAAAATCAAAAACTACCATTGAACCTTCCTGATCATCTATGTATCTCACCTGTATATTTCAAGTAATTTTATCAAAAAATTCAACCAGCAATATACTTTAAAATTAATTTTAAATAAACCCCAAAAGATGAGTGTTGAAGAATCAATGTGTTGAAAAACCCAGCGATCGAATGGATTTTCGAATATGATGTTCCGTTCTTCTGTTGTTGATGTGTATAACCAGAGGGGCATACACAAAGAAAGAAAGAAAGGTTTTTTTCTTTTTTCTTTTTTCTTTTATTTTAGTTTCTTTTTAGGTCCCTTTTCTTTAATTCATCCGTCTTAATTGCACTATTTTTCTAATTTTGGTATTTTTTTTACTCCTAGTTATTTTCTGACCAAGTAGTGAAATTTCATAAATTATAAATTATAAAAATGTGGGGGAAAGAAACTGCAGTGGCGCGTTGAAATGAACTATGTGAGTGCAAAATCCAGCAAGAGTGCTGCTGCTGCTGCTACAACAACAACAACAACAACAACAACAAGTGATATACAACGATTTACGGACGAACAAAACACTCTTCCGAAAGACCCTCTACTTAAAGAAGCCGAACAAAAGAATAGGAATTTTGGCCCCAAAAGAATATATGTTTGCTAGCTTACAACTTGTTTGGACGGTTGTTACATATTGTATTATATCGTATTGTTACTTTAAATATAATATTTATTTTGATTGTTATTTAAATTTATCGTAGCGTATCATTAAATTTGTCATTGCTTTGTCTTTTTCTCCCGTATCATTAAATTTGTCATTGCTTTGTCTTTTTCTCTTATATTGCCCTTCATTATTATTAAATTAACCTAATTTTTTCTTTGCACTACCTTTTTATATAATAATTCTACATCATATAATATTTTTTCTTTGTAATATTATAAGTTTATTCTTCATATTGTTGATGCGTGATATCATAAATCAATGGCAAACGATATACTCTATCCAAATATTGCATTAATCAAACGATACAATACAATATTATACAATACGATACAATACGTAACAACCATCCAAACAAGTTGTTAATGACATGAATTTAATTTATTCACAATAAAGGAGACCATTTCAATGGGAAAATATGTTTTATTATAAATATTATTTATTTTTAAAACAAAAAAATCGAGTTTTTTTGTTCTATTAGACCAAACTTAAAAGGACCTTACTTCTACGTCAGGGTAGATTTGAAGTGACAAATTTAGCTCATGAATATAACTGGCGCAATTTGTTCAAATATAGAGAGTTGTATAGAACATATATTCATTGACGGTTTAATTTGAATACAACTCAATGTTATTCATTTGGATCAATTTGGACTACCAGTATTTTTAAATTGACTCGTAAGAAAATGTGTCATGACATGAAAACTAAAATTTTAGGATATGACTTATAAAATATAGTCATGATAAAGGAAAATTTGATTTTATTAATTTTTCTTCGTATATTAAATTATAAATAAAAAAATACAATAACAACAACAACAAATCCAGTGTAATCCTACAGGTAGAGTCTGAGAAAAGTAATATGTACGCATATATTACCCCTACCTTGTGAAGGTAGAGAAGTTGTTTTCGATAGACACTCGGCGCAAAGAACAATGAAAATAAAGTAACAAACAGTGACAAGTGAGGCTTGCTCAGTTGGTAAAAGCACTTCCACCCACGACCGTTAGGTCCTGGGTTCGATTCACGCTGGAGGGGAAGTGTGAAAATACTATAGATCCTCCTAATTTGGAAGGAGTTTTAAAAAGAAAAGAAAAAAGTAACAAACAGTAGCAGCAACAACGCAATAGGAACAAATGGCACAACATGTAGTAATAAAGAACTAAGAATAACAAAAATACAAAAATAGTACCAGTGCTACTAGTAAGACTAATAGCATGTTTGGCTAAGTTGGAGTTTTAATCAGCTTATTTTGAGAAGTATTTTTTTCAAAAGTGCTTTTGAGAAAAGTACTTTTGGAGAGAAGCACGCTAAAAAGCACTTTTGAGCAATAATTTGTGTTTGGCCAAGCTTTTCAGAAAGTGCTTTTAAGTATCAAATTACGAATAAGGACATGAATAGATTTACTTAATAGTTAATATTATAAGTAAATAAATAATCTTAAAAATTTGTTATTACATGCAATAATTAATTTTTTTTATTTTATTTAAGTAAAATATGAAAATAAAATTTAAAAGTACTTAATTCTTTTAATATAAGTTAAATATATTAAAAATTATTCAACAAATATAAAAGCATTCAACCCTAAAGTCACTATATATTAGAAAGCTATCCTAAAAAGAATAAGAAATATGTATACATTAATATCCTAAGTATTAGGTTTAACGGTTATTTTGGTATATATTATATTTTGTTAAGAGTATTTTTGGTAAGAAAAAAAGTCAAAACTGCTTCTGCTTCTGCTTTTAGAAAGAAGCTATTTTTTTTCTGCTTCTCTGAAACTGCTTCTCCTTCTTCTCAAAAGCACTTTTTTCCTCAAAAAAGCTTGGCCAAACAACTCAAGTTAGGGAAAAAAAAAGTGCTTTTAAGAAAGAAAAAAAAACACTTTTGGTCTCTTGAGAAGCTTGGCCAAACAGACTATAAGAGACACTCACGGCTACATGTCAACCTTTCACTCTAATTCTCGATCTCCATCCTTTTCTATTGATGGTCATGTCCTTGGTAAGTTGGAGCAATAACATGTCATGCCTGATCACCTCATCCCAATACTTCTTTGGCCTACCCCTACCCTTCCTTAAACCCGCCATGGTCAACCTCCCACACTTCCTGACTGGGGCATTTATGTTTCTTATTTGCACGAGTCCGAACTATCTCAGCCTCGATTCCCGCAATTTGTCCTCCACCAAGGCAACACCCACCTTGTCCCTAATAACTTCGTTCCTAATCTTGTCTTTTCTGGTATGCCCAAACATCCAGCTCGATATCTTCATTACAACTACCTTCATCTTCTGGACGTGGGGCTTCTTGACGGGCCAAACAAATGGAAAAATGATTTAGAGTTTAGCGCATTTGCTATGAATATTTTTTAACCTAAATCGGTCTACTATCTTATTTTAATCCAACCAAACCTTCATATTTATCATGGATTTTTACCTTCCTATACTACATATGAAACTTTATTACCCTCTCTAATCAAGTTTTAACTTAATTACATGTGCATATATAATTTACCAGTTATATACAATTAATATTAAAGAGTATCCCTTTATACTAAGAATTGATTATGGATTTATTTATTTTCCTGCTCTCTCTCTCCGCCTCTCTCTCTCTCTCTTTCTTTCTCTCTCTCTCTCTCTCTCTCTCTTTCTCTCTCTCTCTCTCTCTCTCTCTCTCTCTCTCTCTCTCTCTCCATCCTTTTCTGTTCTTTTCCCAATTTTCTTCCTTCGTTTTTCTCTGCTTTTTGTCCTCTCCTTTTTTCATCAATTTCCTATCATGTTGCACGATTGGTGTTCGAATTGAAATTGCCAATCAATAAATTTTGAAGGTGTTTGATTCTCTACTATTGACAGCCACTAAAATGCTTCAAAGCATTGAATTCGAATTTGGATTTTCAAAAACTATTGTTTGGTTGGATTGGGTGTTTGTTGCAAATAATTGAGAATATTCTTTGGAGTTTATATCTCAATTTTGAGGGTGTTTGGTGAAAGATTAGACTTGATTTTGGCTGAATTTCTAATTGAAATGCGAAGAAGAAGAAGAACACATGACATACAATATACTTACGAAATTGTATTAAAGTTGTTTATAAATTATATTTAAGTTGTATTCTATTGTAATTATATATTTTTTTATTTGAATGTTGTATGAAAGTTGAAAATAGTTGTATAGTGTCTGAATTGTTGTATGAAATTTTTATTTTCGTTATAAATACTATCTTTTTACATAAAGTTGTTGATGTGTATCAAATTATTTTAAGAGAGAAAGTTTTGATTGGAATTTCAGAGAGTAAGAAGAACACACAACTTACAAAATATATACAAATCATAAAGGCTCAAAAATGAAAAATGAGATAAAACCCTTGTTTATATGGTACCACATCTGATCTCCCAATGTGCTGACCGCATATCCCACGTTCTGCGGTCGCAATCCAAATTGTGCGGACGCACTTCAGCAGCTCTGCACTATTAGGCTTCAGTAAATTAACCATAACTTTCTCTACAAATATCCAAATGATTAATGATTATACCTTTCTCGAAACTAGACTCAGAGGGCTACAACTTTTATTTTTGAATCATCTCCAAATCCCTTATAAATTAAAAGATATAAGCTTCCAAAGTTGGACCATCGAACTTGCAGAATCTCCTTTTTGCGGCCGCACATCCGCACTCCAAAATGTGCCCTCCACACTTCAGCTGTTCCAGAACATCATTAGAGTGTCGAAATGCCCAAACTTGTTCAAAACTCACCCGAAACTCACCCAAGCTACTCGGGACCCCGTTCAAATATACCAACCAGTCCCGTAACATAACGCAGACCTACTTGAGGTCTCAAATCACGTCAAACAACGTCGAAACTACAATTCGCACCTCGATTCGGACTTATGAGTTTATGAAATTTTTAATTCTATAACTCACGCCGAAACATATCAATTCAATCCGGAATAATCTCAAATTTTGCAGGTAAGTCCCAAATGACATAACGGAGCTATTCCAACTCTCGGAATCTCAATCCGAGTCTGATATCGATAAAGTCAAATTCACGGTCAAACTTTGGAAATCTTTAACCTTTAGATTTCCAGTTTTCGTTAAATGGCGATAAGATAGGGACCTCCGAATTCGATTACGGGAATACGACCAAGTCCCAAATTACGATACGGACCTATCAAAACTGTCAAAATATTGATCCGGATCCGTTTGCTCAAAACGTTGACCGAAGTCAACTCAGTTGAGTTTTAAAGCTCTACTTCACATTTTAATCATTTTTTCACATAAAAACTTTTCGGAAAGATTTATGGGCTGCGCACTCAAGTAGAGGAATACTGAAAGGTGCTATTTGAGGTTTTAGAACTCAGAAATAATCATTAAATTTAAAGATGACCTATCGGGTCATCATATTCTCCACCTAAAAAACAAACGTTCATCCTAAAACGGAATTAGAAAATTACCTGGGCTGGTGAAAAGGTGTGGATATCTACTCCGCATGTCCGACTCCGACTCCCAGGTAGCTGCCTCAATCGACTTACCTCTCCATTGCACCCAAACTGAAAGATAACTCTTAGACCTCAATTGTCGG